GATCGTTCCATAGTTAACCCCATCCCCAAACAAAATTCACTTCCGAAAATTACTTCAACGCTGTTGACTGGCTTGAATATATTTAAAAGGTCAGTCCTTCATGGACCCCATTATTTATTATTAACAAATGTTTTCAAACTTCAATAAAAGTCCTATTTCAGGGTCCAAGGCATTCTTTGATTGTGGTTATCTACATATGTAAATACATAAATATGCATGTAATTCATGTTAGTTGTGCTGTAGGGTATCACATGTTCTGTAATAGTGTCTTAAATGTTTGCATTGCATTTGTGCAACATTCATATACATACATACATAGGTATGTATGTAATGTATTTTCCTAATTGTTCATATGTATAAGAAATTGTTGTTCTTCTTGTTACAAAACGACAAAAATAAAATGATGATGGAAAAACAATTTTTTTTTGTTCAAAATTTCCGGTTGCGTACTAAATTTAGCTTTTAACACACATTCATTTAGTTCATATTTGTTTATTGTACTTACATAACTTTTTTAATTTTTTTGTTCAAATAAACAGAAAGCGTATTCATCAATGAATTAGTGAAGCTTGAAATTGGAAAAGCAAAAGTTTTTTTATTTGTAATTTTTATCAATGGTCATTTATGTTAAAGGAAATTTATTTGATAATTATGTTAGTTAAACTGTGTTAATGGTTAAATGAGTTTCTATAATGTTTTAAATTTTTGTAAAAAAATATGAAAAGTTTTCAGAATACAAAAGGAAATTATATGAAGATCCGGTATTTAAAATAATTAAAAATTAAAATTGTTGAGTTTTTTTATCAATTTGTTTGCAGTTGTTTAAACAATTTTCCAAAAATTTGTTTACATTCTAACAAATTTTCTATATAAAAGCTAACATTAATTTAAAATTTTTATAAACGTTAGAATTTAGCACCTGTTTCGTTTCTAATTTAAAACTAATTTCAATCATCTTTTAGTTTTTATGAGCTTAAACTTCTTGCGTCTTTCTTTCTCTCTGGCTTAATTTTGCTAATAAAAATTTTATGTCCTTAAAATACGGTAATAAAATTCCTATAAAAAACCGTATTCATTCAGTTTCATTTAACAAAAAGAAGAATACTGTAAACTTAACCCATGAGGACATGTGCAGAGCAACGGCATACAAAGCCAATTTACGACTTTTTATAACTGCAAATGACAAGAGCAAATGGACAAATATTCACACATTAAATTTCCAAACCAGCGAGTGAGGAAGTAGACAAAAAACCGAAAAGAAACCTGTAACATTAAAAAACATACAAATTGAAAAAAAAAATTATTTGACACCTTTTTTTTTTGTTATGTGTCTTGTGCAGTGAGGACAGACGAAGACACTTACCACCGAGTTGCAACAACATCTTGTATGAGTATCATCTTGAGGTGTCTAAACAAATATTAATACCAGTACAATGATTATAATAGTTTTTTTTCTGCTGCTTTATTCTCACTCTGCTTGTCTGTTTTTCTTTATGATTCAAACCTAAATGGACTTGTGCACTACTAGATGATGAGGTTTATTTTTATGTTCGTTCCCTCTTAATACGAGTAGTATTTGGTATTTAGTACAATGTACATTTATGACTTTTAGCCAGTAAATTAAAGGATTTTGTTGACATTCTTTTGATATTCCAAAACGTGTTAGGAAGTCTGAGACAATATTGGTATGAGCGTGCGTGCAAGATGTATGAAGAACAGAAGTCATAATTTTTAGTATTAGTTTCAGAAAGGGGTCATATTTTGATAGTTTTAGTTTTTGGATTGAATTAACATTTAGTTTTTATTTTATTAGTTTAGTAAGTTAGTAATAAAATTGTGTAAAATATAGAAATTTCTCCATTTGTGTACCCTAAAAATCTTCTCTAATGGGAAAGAAAAATTGGTTAGGATCAATTTCTGCTTATCTAATCCTATCCTGCTTTAGACATCCAGACAGACAGATGAACGGAAGAACGGACATAGTTAGAATTTAATAAGAAGCCAGAATATAAGTAGAAGTTCTTTACGTGAAAACCTACAGTGTTGACCTTATTTCACGGTGATACTTTTACACGTCGGGGCAATTTTTATATATAGTTCTGCCGGTACATGTACAAACACCATGCTCAAGTACTCGAGCTATTTAATCTCTTGAACACTGCTGCCCCTTTGAGTAACTTCCAATTCCGTTTACAACCAAACAGATGGGATGACCTCTGTTGATATCTGTTGTGAACCCTCAACATACCCTGACAAGGAAGGATACCTTTCATTTAACCCAGAGAAATTCTCATTCATCCGACACACTCGTTTTATATACAAGGATGGGTCAGTCCGCATATCCCTATATCCATCCCGTATCAGTCACTCCTCTGCTGGATATTAATTGTCTTTTCGATAACTGAACCACCGAACTTATCCAGCAATATACACTTCTCCGTGCACTAGTCTTCTAACCAACATTCTCTGCCCAAAAGTTTGGGTTTAAACCACAGCCACCTCGTGCACCTCGAATAGACCTCTACAATAACCGAAACAAGAGAAAGTCCGAAACTCTACCCTGTGGTACCAGATTATAAGGAACCGGGTCAAACAAATCGTTCCGTGGAAAAGCCGAGGATACCTTTGACACCATCAGTTTATAGTCCCTGCAGATTAGATGTATCTCTTTTTCCCGGTTTGCAACCACACCATCTTGGTGTTAAATGTATAGGAATCAGAATATATATTTTTTATGAACAAGGTTTCGAAACGATATAGTCGACGTTTGTTTGGAGAGGAATACTCAAAAGAAAGTCATTCAAATAGTCATTCTATTCCCATGACAAGATCAAGTAGATCACCCAGATCACGTCTGATCAAAAATTTGTTGGTTTGTCCTAGAGTACAGAGCCTGAAAATTACATAAATGGCTAAGTAGATAAAAGATTCCTCAGAACAAAGATTTTCAGAAATAAATTAGCATAAAATTTAACATGACCTACTTAACATGATGCTACTTTTCGCATTCGAGTTTCTATTTTGAAAACGTACCTTACAAATACTCCAAGGGCACGACTATGAAGACTCAAAGTAGGACATCTCCTACATATATATCGACTACTTGATCCTAATAAAGTCGAAAGTCGGCTATCTTGTAAGAAAAAGTTGAAGTATCGATTTTGTAGTTAAGTCGGAAATAGTCAAAAAGTCGATATTATAAAAGAATAAAAAATTATTTCAATTATAGAACCCTAAATCCACCATTTCTTCATAGTCTATAAAAATTATCTATACTTCATCAATGCTATCAATTCAATTAGTACTTTGGCTCGTTTGTTACCCAACCAACGTAGTCCAAAAATTTTGTATACTTTACAATCCGGACGGATACTTTTTTTACCGAAATTTTTCTGAACTGATCAGATTTCCACCCCGTCTGCACAGTTCACCAGTCAAGGAGGTCACATAGCATCGGTTTAATTAGGATATATCCGATAGATCATAGAAGTAGGTAGCACCTAGAGTTTGGTTTTTACAATTGCTGTCTTGTCTTCATTCTCATTCTGACAACTTCTGCAGAAGTCAAATAGAAAACCAATGCGTCTAGCATGGTTACCAAATTTACAGTGACCGGTAATGGCCGATACCAGTTTACTTAATTGTAGTATTTGAATACCAGGGAGATAGGTAGTTTTACGTGAGTACTTACGAGGCCATACCGCTCTAGCTATCAACATACGATCCTTAGCCTTGGAATAATAGATGTTTATGACTTTGAATAAGAAGTAGTGGAACTCCACATAACTGAACTATTTACAATTCACTTTACATGGTTTCCACTATTGCTATTATTGCCACATATAGTCCCGAGTCCCTAGACCCATATAAGTGCTATGTTTGAATATTTCACCATCTCCAGCATTCATGGGCAAGATGTGGAGAACACACCAATAAGGGATTTAATAGCAGCTTGACTATCGGTATATATTCTAATATCTCTGTAAGATGTTCGATAATACCTTAGCCAATACGACACCCTTTTGATCTATGATATTTCAGTTCGAAGTTTAATAGAGTCAACATTCAATCTAAAGGAGATTTTAGTCCCAAATTCTTCAATTAAGATGCCACTATCAACTTCTTTCGTTGTCTTAGATTCATCTATATACACACAGAAACAACTATTTAACGGAAGTAGAGGTTCTTGAAACTTCATAGAGATATGATATTGGAATTGTCTCAGAAACGAAGGTTCCGACATACAATAATTAATGGCGTAATGGGTTCTAGGCAGGAGACCAATATTCCAATTGCCATTTTACCAATAGTCGGTTAATGGTCATATTCAGAGTGGATAGTACGCCACGCTGTGAAGTATATCGTGCCGCTTTTTTAGAGAACTGTGTGATCTCCTAGAGAAAATTCAATTACTCTATTTGAGAGTAAACTCTCAACAAAATCCACAATAGACCTCTTAAGACCCATCTGAGCGAGAGATTGATAGATTGGAATGGATCCAGCGTTATTAAAAGAGCTTTCAATATGAAGGAAATTAACCAAAGTCCTTAGCTTAACTGTCTGTTCCTCTAAATGTGAACGAACATTGCTTTCTCATTTAATATTGAAAGCAAAAACAAATTTTTTCGAATTTATTTGTTGTTTTCAATATAAAACTAGAAAAAACTTGTTCGTTCGCATTTAGAGGAATAGGCCCTTAGTATGAGAAGTTTTACCCCATTTGAAATTAAAAGCACATTACACTTAGTCCCCTAGGTCCACTAACTGACTTAACTAACATTGTTAATAATTTTTGCATTCTTTTAAACTTTAAAATAAACCTTCATTTTTAAAATAAAACTTAAAACTTTATAATTCTATTTTTCCCCCTTAGGTTTAACAAGGGTTAATATATATTTAAAGTGTTTGTGACTGTACTAAGAAATAATATAAGTATACAATAAGTTCTATAGCATATTTTTAGGAGTACATTTAATTTATAATATATACATCATTTTGTCTAATAACGAAGCCATCAACCCGTTTAGTATTGTAGTTATTTATACAGTCAATTTAGTTGTGTATACAAAGCCATGCCATAAGGTGGCGCATCATAAGTTTCCAAATAATAAGAACCAGAGGCGCTGTATAAAAAATAAAAACAATTTATATTATACAACATTATTTATACAGTTAGTCAAGACACATTAGTTTTAAAAAGTTAAGTCAACAACCCAGCAATAATGTTTATACAGTAAATGAACCAGCAATTTTTGCAAAAATACGTTTTTTTTTTATACGAAATGTAAAATAAATTCTTTTTCTTATATGCTGCACGAAGTTAAAATCGCCCTAGGATAGTGCAGGTAATAGCTGCCCATTAGAAATACCCGTGTTTGTGTGTCGTGCGCACCTAATTCTGTTAAGCCGCGACAGTTTTTGAAACTCTCTCTGAATTTGCAAAGCAATTTGAATGTGTTTCTGTATCGTGAACGAACAGTGTTGCCAAACAATTTTTGACTATATAAAAAAAATGTGTTGGAAATTATTTGAAATTTGACGGAATAAAATTGAGAATCTAAAAAAGGGGTCTTTTGATAATTTTTCGTTCTTCAAAAGGTATTTTTTGAAATTTTTATAATATTGAAATTAGAAAAATGAAATTAAGCATGTAGTTCCCGGACTAAGTGAGGTACTTTTTGAATTTTCTATAAAACTAAAGTTCGTGGTAGTTTTTTGATCATCAAATGGTACTTTTTGAATCTTTTTTAATATTAAACCTAGAAACGTAGAATTAAAAACATAGCGCTTGAATAAAAATCTATAAAAGTGGAATTTCTGGTACTTTTTCGCGTTCCAAATGGAAAATTATTGGATTTGTAATCCAATTCAATTCCGATAAGCTTACCTTCTAGAAACTCCTTCTCCCATATAGGCTATGAGTGCATCATTTTTAGCAGCAATAGCATCTGCCAACGATTTGCTTAAGCTACTATCCTTTATTTTTTGCAGACACTTGTCAGAAGAATGCATACTTATAGCCATTAAAGAACAGGGTATAGCTGGAAAATTTTGTGGCAAAGCAATTGATTCAGCATACAATATCACGGCTCTATTATGGCTACAGCTATCTAAAAATTATATTTTTATATAAATCTTTAAATCAAATTTCTTTTAAAAAAGAGTTTATAACTTACAAGCCTCAAATATTAACTTACTGGCACTAATAATATCAACATCATCACAACCCTTCTGTGGGGTATGACCATAATTTGGATAAAAATCCATTGTACCTCGAGGTGTATTATCACCAAATACCGGAAAATCGGTATGTATAACATCAACAAATAAAGCGGCATTCGCGTGTAAACTATCGGCTGCATTGGGGGTAAATAGAGGTAGAGCAGGATCTAAACCCGTTACACGACCTATAGAGCCATTAAAATAACGTCCCATATTGCCGGCAATATGAGCACCCAAACTGTGTCCTATTAAATGAACTTCTGACAGAGGTATTTCATGTTTGCTAATAATTATCAGAAAGATGGGGTGAATCTAAATTAAAATTTTAATTTCACTTACTTTAAATAGTTTTCCAATAATTTTCCAAGGAAAATAGCAACTTTTCCTACTGCCAATCTAGAACTGGGATAATCTAAATTAGCTGCATTTTCCCAATCCACCAAGAAAACGTTTTCCTTACCTTGGGCCATGTATGCTTAGAAAGATCAAAAGTAAAATTTGGTTTAAAAATTCTTCTGAAACTTTATGAAATTTTAAGGGGGAAACAACTATAGTTTGGACTATAGCCAGTACTACAGAATATAGCTTGGACTACAGGCTATAGTCTGGTTAATAGACTGTAGCCTCAACTATAGACTCTAGTCTGGACTATAGACTGAATTATCGACTATATTCTGGACTATTGATTACAATCTAGATTATAGTCTAGACAAAAGTCTAGACTTTAGACTATAGTCTGGACTATAGACTATAGTCTGGACTATAGACTATAGTCTGGACTATAGTCTGGACTATAGACTATAGTCTGGACTATAGACTATAGTCTGGACTATAGACTATAGTCTGGACTATAGACTATAGTCTGGACTATAGAATATAGTCTGGACTATAGACTATAGTCTGGACTATAGACTATAGTCTGGACAATAGACTATAGTCTGGACTATAGACTATAGTCTGGACTATAGACTATAGTCTGGACTATAGACTATAGTCTGGACTATAGACTATAGTCTGGACTATAGACTATAGTCTGGACTATAGACTATAGTCTGGACTATAGACTTTAGTCGGGACTATAGACTGTAGTCTGGACTATAGACTATAGTCTGGACTATAGACTATAGTCTGGACTATAGACTATAGCCTGAACTATAGACTATAGTCTGAACTATAGACTATAGTCTGGACTATAGACTATAGTCTGGACTATAGACTATAGTCTGGACTATAGACTATAGTCTGGACTATAGTCTGAACTATAGACTATAGTCTGGACTATAGTCTGGACTATAGACTATAGTCTGGACTATAGACTATAGTCTGGACTATAGTCTGGACTATAGACTGTAGTCTGGACTATAAACTATAGTCCGGACTATAGACTATAGTCTGGACTATAGACTATAGTCTGGACTATAGACTATAGTCTGGACTATAGACTATAGTCTGGACTATAGACTATAGTCTGGACTATAGACTATAGTCTGGATTATAGACTATAGTCTGGACTATAGACTATAGTCTGGACTATAGACTATAGTCTGGATTAGTCTGAACTATAGACTATTGTCTGGACTATAGACTATAGTATGGACTATAGTATGGACTATAGACTATAGTCTGGACTATTGACTATTGTCTGGACAATAAGCTAGGGTCTAGACAATACACGATAGTCCAGACTATAGTCTGGACTATGCACAATAGATCCTAGTCTAAACGATAGTGTAAAAGATTATTAATCGATAGAACTTTATATATATATATATTATTAAAATAGGGGTACTGATAGTTTGAATTCTTTTACAGAAATATTTCGTTTTATTTATGGTCAACAACTTACCATTTCTTAAAGGTCTTATCGAGTTGTGAAAACGGTTACCCAGAAATCCATGTATAATAACTTTAATATCCGTTTTACTGGACGGCTCAACAATTGTATCCAAAGTGAATTCATGAGCTTGACCATCATGAAGACTAACAGAAAATCTAAGTAAAATTTCTATAAAATTTTGAATCAGAACTCGTTCACTTACGGTTGCTGATAATAAATATTAGCTCTTTGCACTAAATTGTCAATATTAGCTTTTGCTAGCCACAAGTTTAACAAAACAATAATGATTGTGAATAAATTTCTAAAATTTTCCATTTTTTTCCTATTTATTTTCTCTTTATTTCTAAAATTGTTGCTTTATCTTTAAAAGTCTAGAATAAACTGAAAAAGCACGATTAAGTCATGAGTCTTAGGTCAAGATTTAAATTCGCTTTATCTAAAAATACTTTTAGTTAATCGCATGACTTTATAATAGAGTTAAACAAATTTTCAGTTAATTATTTTTTGTCATTTATTTAAGCAATTTGGGTTTTTTTCGCTAAATTTATAAATGACGTTTTTACTTTATGTTTGTTTAAGAAAAATGCTCAATTTTGAGATTAGAAATAAAAAAGGATATTAAGCAATGTGCTATATAGACTAGGCTATAGTCTGATTCAAAATTGAGAATCAGAATATAGACTAGACTATAGACTAGGCTATAGACTAGACTATAGACTAGACTATGGACTAGGCTATAGACTAGGCTAAAGGATAGACTAGACTAGGCTATAGACTAGACTAGACTAGACTAGACTAGACTATAGACTAGACTATAGATAGACTAGACTAATAGACTAGACTATAGCTAGACTATAGACTAGACTATAGACTAGACTATAGACTAGACTATAGACTAGACTATAGACTAGACTATAGACTAGACTAGACTAGACTATAGACTAGATAGACTATAGACTAGACTATAGACTAGACTATAGACTAGACTATAGACTAGACTATAGACTAGACTATAGACTAGACTATAGACTAGACTATAGACTAGACTATAGACTAGACTATAGACTAGACTATAGACTAGACTATAGACTAGACTATAGACTAGACTATAGACTAGACTATAGACTAGACTATAGACTAGACTATAGACTAGACTATAGACTAGACTATAGACTAGACTATAGACTAGACTATAGACTAGACTATAGACTAGACTATAGACTAGACTATAGACTAGACTATAGACTAGACTATAGACTAGACTATAGACTAGACTATAGACTAGACTATAGACTAGACTATAGACTAGACTATAGACTAGACTATAGACTAGACTATAGACTAGACTATAGACTAGACTATAGACTAGACTATAGACTAGACTATAGACTAGACTATAGACTAGACTATAGACTACACTATAGACTAGACTATAGACTACACTATAGACTAGACTATAGACTACACTATAGACTAGACTATAGACTAGCACTATAGACTAGACTATAGACTAGACTATAGAACTAGACTATAGACTAGACTATAGACTAGACTATAGACTAGACTATAGACTAGATTATAGACTAGACTATAGACTAGACTATAGACTAGACTATAGACTAGACTATAGACCTAGACTATAGCACTAGACATACAGCTAGACTATAGACTAGACTATAGACTAGACTATAGACTAGACTATAGACTATACTAGACTATAGACTAGACTATAGACTAGACTATAGACTAGACTATAGACTAGACTATAGACTAGACTATAGACTAGACTATAGACTAGACTATAGACTAGACTAGACTATAGACTAGACTATAGACTATTCTATAGACTAGACTATAGGCTATAGTCTGATTCAAAATTGAGAATCAGAATATAGACTAGACTATAGACTAGACTATGGACTAGGCTATAAACTAGGCTATAGGATAGACTATAGACTAGACTATAGACTAGACTATAGACTAGACTATAGACTAGACTATAGACTAGACTATAGACTAGACTATAGACTAGACTATAGACTAGACTAGAGACTTGACTATAGACTAGACTATAGACTAGACTATAGACTAGACTATAGACTAGACTATAGACTAGACTATAGACTAGACTATAGAATAGACTATAGACTAGACTATAGACTAGACTATAGACTAGACTATAGACTAGACTATAGACTAGACTATAGACTAGACTATAGACTAGACTATAGACTAGACTATAGACTAGACTATAGACTAGACTATAGACTAGACTATAGACTAGACTATAGACTAGACTATAGACTAGACTATAGACTAGACTATAGACTAGACTATAGACTAGACTATAGACTAGACTATAGACTAGACTATAGACTAGACTATAGACTAGACTATAGACTAGACTATAGACTAGACTATAGACTAGACTATAGACTAGACTATAGACTAGACTATAGAGTAGACTATAGACTAGACTATAGACTGGACTATAGACTAGACTATAGACTACACTATAGACTAGACTATAGACTACACTATAGACTAGACTATAGACTACACTATAGACTAGACTATAGACTAGACTATAGACTAGACTATAGACTAGACTATAGACTAGACTATAGACTAGACTATAGACTATATTATAGACTAGACTATAGACTAGACTATAGACTAGACTATAGACTAGACTATAGACTAGACTATAGACTAGACTATAGACTAGACTATACACTAGACTATACACTAGACTATAGACTAGACTATAGACTAGACTATAGACTAGACTATAGACTAGACTATAGACTAGACTATAGACTAGACTATAGACTAGACTATAGACTAGACTATAGACTAGACTATAGACTAGACTATAGACTAGACTATAGACTAGACTATAGACTAGACTATAGACTATTCTATAGACTAGACTATAGGCTATAGTCTGATTCAAAATTGAGAATCAGAATATAGACTAGACTATAGACTAGACTATGGACTAGGCTATAAACTAGGCTATAGGATAGACTATAGACTAGACTATAGACTAGACTATAGACTAGACTATAGACTAGACTATAGACTAGACTATAGACTAGACTATAGACTAGACTATAGACTAGACTATAGACTAGACTATAGACTAGACTATAGACTAGACTATAGACTAGACTATAGACTAGACTATAGACTAGACAATAGACTAGACTATAGACTAGACTATAGACTAGACTATAGACTAGACTATAGACTAGACTATAGACTAGACTATAGACTAGACTATAGACTAGACTATAGACTAGACTATAGACTAGACTATAGACTAGACTATAGACTAGGCTATAGACTAGACTATAGACTAGACTATAGACTAGACTATAGACTAGACTATAGACTAGACTATAGACTAGACTATAGACTAGACTATAGACTGGACTATAGACTAGACTATAGACTAGACTATAGACTAGACTATAGACTAGACTATAGACTAGACTATAGACTAGACTATAGACTAGACTATAGACTAGACTATAGACTAGACTATAGACTAGACTATAGACTAGACTATAGACTAGACTATAGACTAGACTATAGACTAGACTATAGACTAGACTATAGACTAGACTATAGACTAGACTATAGACTAGACTATAGACTAGACTATAGACTAGACTATAGACTAGACTATAGACTAGACTATAGACTAGACTATAGACTAGACTATAGACTAGACTATAGACTAGACTATAGACTAGACTATAGACTAGACTATAGACTAGACTATAGACTAGACTATAGACTAGACTATAGACTAGACTATAGACTAGGCTATAGACTAGACTATAGACTAGACTATAGACTAGACTATAGACTAGACTATAGACTAGACTATAGACTAGACTATAGACTAGACTATAGACTAGACTATAGACTGGACTATAGACTAGACTATAGACTAGACTATAGACTAGACTATAGACTAGACTATAGACTAGACTATAGACTAGACTATAGACTAGACTATAGACTAGACTATAGACTAGACTATAGACTAGACTATAGACTAGACTATAGACTAGACTATAGACTAGACTATAGACTAGACTATAGACTAGACTATAGACTAGA